GGTCAGGCTTAGGCAGAGTATGTGATCTTTGTCTCCTGGGTTTTGATTTCAGATGGTGCACAATGTATAGGAGCATCATTTTTGGATCATCATTTATTTCTGTTCTCTGTTTTTGCAATAGGAAATGGGGAACAGCCTGAGTGCAGGGAAGGAGAGAGAGGTAATGAGAAGGGAGCTAAATAAATGTCCAAGAAAGACAATATAAAAACTGAACAACTCAAACCATTCTATTGGCAAGGGGGGGGGGGCAGATTGTGTATCACATACTGCGCTGACCTGAGTTGCCTAACTATAGCTATTAGAAAGAAAATGGTAAAGGGTCTCTGTGGAAAAAGGATAGTCAAGCATGGCATGATTTCAAACCTTACAGATTGCATCCTTATGTCCATACAACCCCAGTTAGCTCTTGGATTGGAAAATAGATTGCAGGTACACACTTACACTAAAGCTTGTCAGAAAAACAAAAGTATTATGGCTATTGTTTAATACTGAAATCAATAGAGGAAGCTGGGATATCTGTATTTTCTTTATGTTTTCTCACAAACTCTGTATGACATTAAGTATGTAAAATAAATGACTCATTTAACTTTTCACAGTGGTAAACTAGGAACAGTTAACTACTCAGGTCTGTAAGAACTTCTTAGTTTTTCAAAAAAAAGTTAAGGCTTGAAGAAACACATTTTAAAACCCATTTTTAGAATTAAATCTTCTGCTCAAATTCCACTATGTTATAATGTACCCAGCAAATGACATTCATGTTTGTCAGCAGGAGGGGGAGAATCAAGAACAGGATTCATAGAGATCCCACTATTGTCAGTGGACTTTTTTCCTCTTCTCTTTCCTTTATATTAATGCAAGGAAAATGGAAATGAAGTTCTTTCAACCTTTGGAAACTTCACATATGAAGGACAGTCAAGAATGGCACAGAATGGGGCACCTTTAATAACTTAAACATATTATAGGCTGTATTCTGGGTCTCTCTGCTTTCATCAGTTAAAGAAAAATGTTCCCATTCCTTTCACCACATCTGTCATTTCCTGCTACTCTACCTCTAACAGCCCCATCTCACCTTTTTTTATTGCCTTACTTCCTTTGTCATGCTATTAAACTTAATTTAATACCTTTAACTGAGGCCATATTCTGCATCAAGGGAACCCTCTACAGCAGCTTGAGATTATTTCATTCCTTTCCTAAGAGCTTTCTTTTACAGTGATTTACCTTGCTGAGCAAGCAATTTACTTCACACCTCTCCAGTCAGTCTCAGTCAGTTCTTGGTCTGCTTTGTAGCTGCCCATCTGACACGTAGGTTCCTCTAGACACAGGGCCTTCTTTTTTCATTTTTATTTAAGGCATCATGCACATGCTTGGCAATGTATCAGTAGTAAATGAAACTCCTCCTGACTCAGGAAGGAGCTGCAGCATGCTTATTCCATCTGGAAGTTATTTTTTATCTGATTTCAAGGCTGGGACACTTAAACTGGGGAGAGGGAGAGAGTATAGTGTGTATGTTTTTGTGTATAAAATATTAAGATTTGACTGAATGTTCTCAGCCTCTAGTGAACAAAGGGAATCCCACTGGAAAATTTGTGATGTGATGAATGCCAGCTGAGGAGCTCCTGACTCACCTGCTTTCAAATGGGTTCTGCCATTTTTCTGTCCACTACAGGGTTCTGACTGCTGAAAGTGTATCTTGCCTATTTATAAAACAGAAACAGCATTGTGAGAGTGTCACTAAACAAGAAAAGTCACTATTATTCATGCATTTTATTTGCCAGGTTTCTGTGTTTTGACATATGTTGTATTTCACTGTTGGTCAGAGACGACACCTGAATAAGGAAGATACTAGGCTTTTATTTTTTTCTGATGAAGTGGTATTTCAGTTTTCCTTATGACATTAACTCAGTCCAAGTCTTTGTGATGCTGGTGTGTTGAGTCGGTGATGTATCAATGTAAGGTGCTGGATTCTTTGTGCTGTGAGAGCTAGTTTTGATGTCTCTCTCTTCTCTCTTCTCTTTGTAGCTCCTGATGGGCCACCTCAAGATGTCCAACTTGAGCCTATATCTTCACAAAGCATTAGGGTCACCTGGAAGGTAAATGCACACAGCCAAGAATATAGACACTAACAGTATTTTAGTGCATTCAAAGAAGTTCCATTGCTGGGAGTACTGTAACAACCTTAGATCTGTTATTTTATGTGGGAGACATCTTTTGCAGAAATCTTTGTCAACAAATCTGATAATGGCCATAAAGACTGGTGAATTATGCAAAGAAAGAACCTTGCACCGGAGAATAATAGCAGCAGCCACCTGTACTGATGACAATAACATTTCCTTCTTCCTTCTGATTTCAGAGATAAGGCTATGTGCTTGGAAAATGAGCACTGACAGAATTTCACTGTGGTTTGGGGCAAAATTTTCCCAAGCTGCTGGAGCCAACGAAATTTTTTTCCCATTGAAATGGACTTTGAGGCAGAACCTTAGTGAAGGCATGTCTGCACAGAGAGAGTGATACAGTGTTTCAGTATAGTCCATGAGAATTGATGAATCAGAGCAAATGATTTAAGAATCTCAGTAACTGGTATTATTTAAAAATCTGGCATGTCTTGTGACTGAATTTTTCCTAGATTTTTGCCCAGTGTTTTGAAAACCACAGAATGTTTTAAATGCTTTAATTATAATATCAGAGGTACTCAAACCATGTTTTAATTGGTTTCGTACTATAAAACTCCTCATATTGTGTAGTGGACAAATTAAAGCAATCTAATTACGATAGTGTAGTCTCAGGATGAATGACATTTTTCAAATTGTATTGATAACTGTATATTTAAGATTCTGAAATATGTCATGTTAAGTGCTGGAGTAGAAGGGTGGTGTAATAGTCATTAATTTCTACAGTAATGTAGAAATAGTATTCCTGAAAATGTGGAGAATGTGTATTTTGCCCAATGATACGAACCATCCAGAAAGTCAGGATAGTAACAGTGAGCTGCTGCTGATTAACCATATAAACCATATAAAAAAATGTGAGCTGCTTATCTATTTTTTAAATATGTACAATAAATAATCAGGACTATCCTGTGTTAGTTTTGAGCTGCTTTCTGAAAAGACAGGTTTCTACAGTGTACTATCTCCATACAGTGCACGTGGACACATAACTACTGAGATGTCCAACTAATACAGAGGGACCTTGGCTGTCAAGATTTTTTGACTAGTTCAATGATGTTTTAAAAATGGCACATTAAAAATTATGTCTTGATGAGGTGTTTTGGTGTTAAGCTTCAAAAGCAGTAGTCTTTATCAGACCTTTTATGCACATGTCATAAATACAGTGCTGGTTCTTGGCCCTCATCCATATCTTAAAGTTATATCAGTTTTGCTTTTCATCAGATGGTTTCCAAAAATCAAAGGCATATGGCCACTAGCCACAGACTTACCTGGTGGTTGAAGTGAAACACAACAATGTACTTATAAAAGGCATACCTCAAGCATGGATTTAAATGCAACACACAGGCAGTAGAAAAAAGGAAGTAGCTCTTGAAGTAATGCACAGAAATTCTCAACAACTGGAATAAATGCTTAATGGGTTGTTTCTTTTTAAAGGACTCAAGAAGTGTGACTGCCATCACGCCTAGTCAACTATAACCTTCAAGGTTCTGTGCATCAACTTTTTTTATGGATGTATGTGTAGCAGACTGAAAGGCTTTTCTAAAGTTCACTGTGGGGGATATTTTCAAAAGTAACAAAAGAAGACAAGCAGCATTGGTTCACTGGTGGAGTTAATAGTTGCTGTTTGTGACTCTGAAGATTTGTCATTAAATTTCATAAATGCAGATGTCTGCAGGCAACTGTAGGACAAACAAAATTCCCACACTTACATTTCAATAACACTGTCTAAGACATGGTTCTGTTTGTACTTCAGGACACTTCAAGTGCAACTTATTTTCCCCATCTCTAGGTATTGTCTGGGGAGTAGAAACATACCAAATGAGCAGCTGGAATTGTATTCTCAAGATCAAGATCATGTTTTGAATCTGATTTGTGATTACTTGTTGAGTAAATGATCAATATCTAATATAACAATATAATCACAGAAATAAGCTATATATAGAACATATACTCTGTTGCCCTGGCAAGTTTCATGAGCTGAGTGTAGAGATAGATTTTCACAATTCAAATAAGCTTGGAGTGTGAGCTACCTGTAACACTGGAAATGCTTACTTATACCTGTGTAGCTTATATTCAGATCAGGAAGGTGGTTCCTTGCTCCCAGAACTGTGCACCACCATGTGACCCTGGTGCCACTCACTCTGCTGATACTGGTTAGATATTTGGAGTTTGCTGCAAACTTCTCTGTCAGACTGCACACACAGTCTCCAATGGATACCTAGTCTCCCGTGAACCTTCAAGATATTCCTATAGACCCAGTATGTGTTAAATCTGTTAAATCTTTTATTTTATTGACCATCAGTATGTGGTCAATAAAATAAAAAAAGTGGTCATGCAGCAAGAGAGGCACTGTAGGATGTCCTCTAAGCAAAGTGCAAGGAAGGTGCTGCTGGCTTTAGTCACAGGTAGTCTATGACCCCATCATACCACAAGCTCCTGTGAGGTGCTGTTTTGCAAGCAGCAGAAACTCTGGAGATCTGCCTATGAAAAGATGGACATCAGAAGATACCACTGGCACTTCACTGAAATTCTGCTCATTGTGCTTTTTTGTGCTGTCAATCTCCTGTGTGATCATCCTGAAAACTTCCCCTCGATTTGCAGTCAGCTGCTGGTATGAACTCATCTGAACAGTGTTAGGTTTCTCTGCGGTGCTGGAAGGAGTTGAAACCCAATTGTTTGTTTGTACTTCAAAGCTTCTTTGCAGAAAAAGGTGAAGTCACTGAGGTGCCTTTCTGGAAGGTTAGCTCTTGCATAGTTGTTCTGCCAATGACCAGGCCCAACAAAAATGATACAGCCAGCAGGAAGATGAACCAATACATAGACTGTATTGTACACACGAAGGACATTCAATGAATGATAGCTGGGGGTACAAACAGATCAGTCAGCTGGTACGCAACTGACACCACCCCCAACGATCCCACAAAAGACATGACTCAGCCCCCAACAGGTGGCAGAAACAGAGACCTGAGGTTGCCCATAGCTGGCATGGGAAACAGCCAAATCAGCAAGTTAAACATATAAGAAAAAGGTGCCCATATGGCAACTCTCTCACCGGATCAGCCCGTGTTTGCAAAGGTCTAGACAGACTGGGGCCCAGCTCCAGCGAGAGTCAGGAGGTCTTCCCTGAACCAGGAAGACCACAGACAGACACTCCTGACTCCCTGCCAGTGGTCCCAGCTTTTATCCCCAAGCAGACACCTGACCTTTGTCAACTCAGTGCAGGACCCCGGGGGCTCATTTCCCTTATGGCTCTCCCCGCAGGGCCGGCCGCACCCTGGGGGGAAGCTATAAGGCAAACTCACCACCTCTTTATGAAGGGCTGTGGGAATCACCCATATGTCAACCTTAATTCGGGGCTCAGGGTTCAAACCCCAGCATTTCAGTAATCCTACCTTCACTAGAAGAATTTTTTCCCAAATGGCAATTTGTAACAACTGACTAATAAGTCCCAAACCAGGAGTGAGCCATTTATTTCCCTTGAATTATTGCAGTTCTCTCCTGACCAGAGCAGGGCTAGTCCATTACTCAGAAAGTTACTTTAAGATAGTGACAGAGACATGACACAGTTCAGTCCTATGTCAAATACTGACTTTTGGGTAAGACCTTACAACTCACTTCTGTGCAGAAAGCACTCATTGAAATGTGCCATACAAAGTACTTAGGAATACTAATAATAAAAAAAACTCACAAGAGCAATCCTATATTGTCAGGGAGACAAAAAAGAAAAAAAAACCTCACTAATAATCTGCTCATTTTTATTTTGGAGTCATGTGGAGCTTTTGCTATGAAAACCTATGATGATATTATACAAAAGGGATTCTGTTGAGAACTGTAGTTATACTTAAAGTCGGCAAACATTGTTTAAATACAGACAGTTTCAATAACAACAAATGGAGCAGAGAATAACACATCAATTATCTTTCATCTTCTATTAAGTTCTATTTCTGCAGCTTGATACTGTTCTTAATCTTCCTTTAAATTTTCTCTTAGCCCACTTTTAGAAAATCCTGGCAAAGCAAAGTTTAATAGGTCTGTGATCTATTTAATCTCATTTCTGTGTGTCCACATAGAACATTTGGTTTCAGATTGAATTTTTAAATAAAACTCAGCACTTTTTGGTAGATTAAAATGGTGCAGAAAGAATGAGAGTCAAAGAGGAATTCTTGTTTAGAAAAGAGCATGAAAATATTCTTTTTTTCACTCTTGTACTACTTTACAAGGTAAATGAACTCATTAAATTTAGGCATGGGAAATATTCTTTCTCCTTATTATGCATATGCACTTGCACATAACTATAAAATGTCATACGTTACAAATATTCAATTTTGTGAGATAAACAGTAAGATTATGGACTAAAACTTACTTTTCATAGTGTTCCATTATGACTGACAAGGTTGACAATATTTTTCCCCATGAACACTTAGTCATGGACAAATGTTGCTTCACTGAATTTTCTAGCAAAAATATGTCTGTGCACAAGAAGGCATATATATCAAATGTGATTTATTTGTGCAAAAAGTCATTTCAAAATGAAGCATTTAGATAGTGTTAACAAGGAACATTTGAAATTTTGTGGAGTAGAGCATTTAAGTGCTTTGTCATGAAGTGACTTTATGCTTGTTCTATACTGTATAATGTTTCAAAGTGAAAAAAAAAAAGTTAATATTTTGTTTAAAGAAAAAAATTCCTTGACCTAAAACAATTATGAAGATATTTCATGGAAACTGCAGGATTTGCCATTTTATTCCAATTCAAAATGAAAAAGTATATAATTGCAGAATTCCCAGTGAAGAGGTTGTTCCAGCTATAGTCCTGCTCCGAGAGCATTTCAATGCATAGTAAATGTATGATTCGGTTTTATCATTCTGTTCCATCTGTTTTATAGTACGATATATGTGTTCCAATATATGTGCTGTAGGCTTTTTTATTATGTACAAGGGCTATGCTGACTTTTTCTTGCTATACAGTACGTGCTTTATGTAGTGTACATACATATGCAGCATCTTAATCTGTCCTGTGTGTGGCAGTAGGGAGTGTATGCCATTCACAAAACAATTAATGCCCCAAATGTTTAGACTGTGTTAGATCACTCTTTTTGCCCCTTCTCACCAATACTGACAATGCCTTTAAAAACGTATGAGCTAGACAAAATGCTTTGGCTAGTAACAGAATTTAAAGTCCTTCAACTTATGAAATAATTCACCCTGAAATATTTAACTACCTAAATGTGATAAAGTTATTTTCTTCTCAGATGGAATAAAAAACTTTCTTTAATGAAGTTAACTCAAACACATTAAAAAACCCTGACCTAAGTTTGCATGCCACTGTCCTGATAAAAACAAAACAAAACAAAACAAAACCAAAACCAAATCCAAAGCAAAAACAAACAAACAAACAAAACAAAACAAAAAAAAAAAAAAAAAAAAAAAAAAAACCACCTTTTGCAATCATTTAAAGGTCATGAAGCCATGGAGTTGTTCAAAATAGGTAATGTACTTGCAAACAAAGTATTTTGATAATAAAGGGCCTACATGTTTCTAAAGAAGCTGGTTATTTGGTTTTTTTTACAACAAAACACAGAGATATTCAAACAGGAAACAATTATACTCCTAGATCCTAAAAGCACAGTTCTAATCCCTTGAGTGCCTTACAAGGCACTCAAGACCTGAATCTCCTAGTTCAGTCATCTGCATCTGGACAGCACCATGCTTGCAGAGAGCTTGCTCATACCAGAGGAACTGAAGTAGTAGAGTGGAAGTTAGATCCTTTTTTCAAGTTTTGGTTCAGTTTCTGAAAGCAGAAGGGAGGAAAAAAATAAAGCATCTGAAGAGATAATTCAACCAGTGAGATCCATCCAGTGATACATTGTAAATATGGAGAGGGTGCTGGCTTTTGCAGAGCAATGATTTGTTGGTAGTGGATGAAAGGCAAATCCTGTGCTGGTTTTATAGCTTCAGTAAGACTTTAGTCCAGTAGACTATAAACTTGCTGAAACAGACAGGTCCTGTGGAAGAAGAGAGTATTGTTGAGAATGTATTCCTTAGTAGATTTAGTGGGCTATAGTAACTACAGATATTGTTGCCTCTGCCACTTTAACTCATCGCTGGTAAACTGGATCACGAAGAGCTTTTCTGTGGGTCTGTGGAACAGATAAGCTCATGGGCACCTTGTGGGAATTTCAGAGAGGTTTGGAAGACTTGAAAGAGTTTTTTGTCCATGGATTATAAGCTGTACCTTAAATGTTTATACTAATTATGCCTTCTATATATAGAAAATCAGATAGGAATATTATCACATATTGAATTTACTCTAATTTTATTAAAATAGAATTTTAATAGGTATTTCTGTCAATAGTGGGCTTTTTCACTGAGTTTCCAATCCATTTTATTCTAGACTACATTTTATATTGCAAAGTCACAGAAATTAATTTCACTAGCCAGGTACAGGGAATCTTGCACTGTGACTGAGAAATATGGTACATAATTATGACCAACCATTTTATATTATCCATATTTTTGAATACCAGATATTGTACAACTTGTTTTAGTAGTTATTCAGTATGCAAATCCCTGCTTTCCAATTCATTATTGCCTTCATCACTCATTATCTAATCATCTTTCCACACTGCACACTGGATGAACAGAAGCATATTTCAAAGCACAGCATAAAATTTTCTTAAAGCATCTAGCTGAATAAACTTACGTGACTGCCTTCAACAGATCAATAAATGCCTTATTAAAGATTCAGTTGGTGAATGGTAGGGATTTCTGGCAAAAACAAAATTACTAGTGAACGGTAGACCTGTAATGCAAATATACCCTTATCAAGTCAACTTTGATTGTTTCACCTGATAAAAGAACAAAACATTATAAATTCAAATTATAACTCAAGAACATGTCCTTATCAGATTTTTCTGTATATGAACCATTACCATTAAGGGTCTTTCTTTCATCACAGAAATGCACAAATTAGAACAAACTGCAGCTGAAATTTATGTATCATGGTAAAAAAAATTATTTCACACGCAGGGAGTATTTTTGAATTGTTACCTAGAAATAGACATAGATTTGATAGGAAAAAAAAATCTGTTGACTTTGTGCACATTTCACAAATTTTAAGAGCAACTTGACTTTGGATATATGTACTCAATGTAATCTTTCATTTTCTTTTTAGGCTCCAAAAAAGCACTTGCAAAATGGAATTATTCGTGGATACCAGATAGGCTATCGGGAGTACAGTGCAGGGGGAAATTTCCAGTTCAACATCATCAGCATTGATACCACTGGGGACAGTGAAGTTTATACACTGAATAACCTGAAAAAATTCACCCAGTATGGTATGGTAGTCCAGGCTTGTAACCGAGCTGGAATAGGACCTTCTTCTCAGGAAATCATCACCACTACTCTTGAGGATGGTAGGTCCTTGGCAAACAACTATCATGGGGCATATTATTATTTCTTTATTTCTTTTTACCTTGTTACTTTTATTGTCTGATTAGTGATTATTGTAGTAGGGACAATAGATGATCAGAATTTACAGGTGTTAGATACAGTAGACAGCTGGATGGGAAGAGACTGACCAATAAGCATGTACAATTTTCATTGTAAGGGATGCAGAATCATCCAGGTAAGCAAATTTAACTCCATTAATGTGCTATATCCTGCTATGAATGATATTGTCTAAGACCATAGCTTTCATTAAGAAGCCTATTGCTCTGGTGTTTACACATTTGCAAATTTTTTAATCTCATCTTAGCTTCATAGTGACCTCATCATAGTTTTGAGATGCTTAATAAAACTATGAAAGGTGAAGTGATAAACCAAATCTCTTCTACTGCACAATCCCTTATCTTGTCAGCCTAAAGAGAGAGGTATATTTTTTCAAGGATATCTAAATTAATGAGAGAAAAGTTATTGTTATTTCAGACAAAATTCAACCTGTGTAATCGAAGGAATTTTTTTTTTCCAAAACTGCATAAAAAGTGCTTCTCAAACAATGCGAGGGAGTCCTCTAGTGGAGAAATAGGATGATTCCATATCCAAAAAGGAAGCCTAATATTTTAGAGAAGTATAAAAGCAAATAATAATAATCTTAAAAAATAGTGCAGGTTAGGTTTTCAGCCACTATAAATTTGCATCACTGTACTTGAGCCAGTGTGAGCTAGGAATCTGACTGTTTTACATGGCGAAAAATAGTGAAATACACATCTGAAATTCTCAAGAGCTACGGATTTTGAGACATATACTTCATGGAAGGCTGGTGTTTTTCATTTAGTCTAAATGTTTTTAGGGCTAGACAGATCATTGCAAGATATCATAAGGCCATATATTCACATATACATATATTTGGTATTATAATAAATAGTGGGTTGTTAGGTTCTTTTTTTTCTTCAGAATACAGCATGCTTACTTTTGTTGGCAACATTTTTTTTTTGGTCATTACTCAGTTTTTGATCCTTCTCAGAATTAACAATGTCATGAGCTTTAAAGGAATGCCAAATACTGCTCCTGCTGTTTTTCTTTGACACTGTACAGCAAGTATAAAATACCCTGGATTTGGCTGACTTTTCCCAGTTTTTCTAAATGTCAGTGAAAATATTTTATGATTTTTTATTCCAATATATTTTAGAGAAGTGACTGCTTTCCTTCTACCACCAACTTTAAATGAACATTAGAATGTCCAGAAAGATGGCAATATGGCTCTAAATTTTTTTTAAAAAAATACATTTAAATTGTGTACAGTACATTCTGCATATTTTAACACTAGGACACATTTCTCTTTCAAAAGACAGCTAAGAATTATTAAAGGACTAGGCAAGAAGTAAGAAAGAAGTACATCAGAAGTCATTCTGGGGAAATCAGCTGTACTTGCAGAAACATGTAGCAAGAATAAAGGGTTTGCATTTTTGACAATGTGTAACTACTAATTAAATGACGAGTGGTGGGATAGCAATGAAAATTGAAAGCATAACCAAAGGGTAAACATTGAGTTGTATTCATCAAGTTAAAAATAGCAAATATCTCATTCCAGTGCCCAGTTGCCCTCCAGGAAATGTGCAAGCCACTGCCACATCACCAGAAACCATCTCTATTTCGTGGTCAACACTGGCAAAAGAAACCCTGAATGGGATTCTGCAAGGATTCAGAGTTATCTACTGGGCCAATCTCTTGGATGGAGGTGAGAGAAATCAAGCTATTACCCAGTAACAAGGCGTATGTGGCCTTTATATCATTTATTGTTGGCTGTGAAGGCATTGTACTTTCTCTTCTCTTTGGTTTGGACAAAAAGTAGCAAGCATTGCAAAGCTGCCTGGAAGGGCCCTCAGGGAAGGTCTCTGTTGTAGGATTTGCAACACTCCATAGACCAACCATAGTACCTAAAATGACCTGAGCAAATTTCATCTCAGTTACAATCCAGCAGATTTCTTTCATAAAGGTTGTCAAGAACCTGGAACATACCTGCCCACACCTGTGTTTTATTTTAGTTTGGTTGGTTATCTGTTTGCTTAGCTAATTGCCTATTTGAGAGAGCATTGCTTATTTTTCGACAGGATGCCTTTTATCTTCATAACTGAGGGTAAAAGAAGGAAGCATTTTTGGAAAAGGCCAGTTTTTTTCATGCCAGCATCTTCTGTTGTGCTTATGTTTTGTAGTCTTTGCATAATTCCTATGGAAATGGAGTCCTGAGCAGAAAGTGAGTGAAATGATCAAAGGAGAAATGAGATACCTTACTAATCTGCATTTTATCACATGATGATAATTCTATGTTGGATTCTTTCTTGTAAATTAAATATTAGTAAGTTTGAGATGCACATGCCTTTATTCGTATTTGCCCTGCTAAATTTTCAGAGCTCTAAGGCAATGAGCTGTCTATTTCCCTTCTTTTGCTTTCATCCATCAGGTTCACAGTTCATTCTAATACGCTACTGTCTTGCAAATTCAGGCCCATGTTAGTGTGGCAAGGAAAACTTAGAACCCAGAGGCCCATTATTATTGCAGGAAATGTTAAAGTCAAAAAATATTTGGAAATCAAACACCAATTCCTATGTACATTTAAATGTAAAGATAAAGTATGAAAAGCATACATAAAAATGTAAACATGATGACATAAAATTAACTGTTTTCAGTGATGCCTGTAGTCTTTGGATCAGATCCTATGCGGATATTATCATTGCACATCTAAGCTCCTATGTGATGTCCTACAACATGATGAAAAAAGATGACATTCATGCAGTGCTTAAAACTTGATTTTCTTCATTTTTTCAGCTTTATTTTCTACCCTAAATAGGTTTAGAGCTCTTTTGCCATATGGGTTGTACTTCTTAGCTTGCCGTAAAAAAAGATTCATATAAAGTGCATCATCTTTCTGCAAGTAAATCAGATTTTACTGTGTTTAGATTTATTGTTAGCTGGTTTTACTGCCATCAAGTGCTTTCCAGCAGCACTTGCTACATATTTTAAAATAAAGGGGAATTTTTCTTGTTATTCCTTATGAGAAATAGTCTTTCTCAAAACCAGAAAATCTTTAGGAAGATAACTGACTTTCTCATTTTTGCTTTAGGGAATATTTTGGAATAATCTGTCCTTGTTACCTATTCTTCACGAGAAATCTTATTACTTGTAAAAAATTCCAATTTTCTTCCCCATATTTAAAAAAAAAAAAAAAAGTTAGAAAATGAAAACTGGGTCTGCTTTGAATGGTAAGAAGTCAGGACACAAAGGGATTTATTTTAATTTATTATAATTCATTGCTATTTTATAATAATGAAGCATTGCTTCTCTGGTACATTTTTCAATCTCCAAGATTTCCACAGTAGGTATCAATAGCTGGGAAAAGACTGAACATGGCAATAACTCAATTTCCTTTTTGTTCTTTAGAGCTAGGAGAAATAAAGAATGTCACTACTACACAGCCATCACTAGAGCTTGATGGCCTGGAAAAATACACCAACTACAGCATTCAGGTGTTGGCTTTTACACGAGCTGGAGATGGAGTGAGAAGTGAACAAATTTTCACCCGCACTAAAGAAGATGGTAAGGAGGAAAACATTTTCCATTCTCACTTCCACAGAATGTTTGTATGTCTCAGGCTTTCAAAATAGTACAAATATTATACACAAACATGCAGAGTGTGATTTCTATCCAGTCGTCTTGAGTTAGGAGTGCATGGGGAGAAGTATGCCCCCACAACTTTGAAAGCAATCTGTTTCCAAGACTCAATTCAGGTGAGCCAGAAGTTTGTAGGTAATACTAGAACACTAGTGATCTGCACAAATTTGTCTTCACTTTTTTTTTTTTTTTTTTTTTCTCCCCAAATACTTCAGGATCCTATTCAAGACTTTCAAGGAGGTTTGAGTTAATTCTTTTGAAGCAATTGAAAATGGGGCAAGCAGGAGAAACCACTCTAGGATGATCTCATATAATTGACATGATTCTAAGAAGAATTTTTCTTCCCTCAAAAGCAAAATGAAGAATAAAAATCTCTTAATTTTGTTCATACACCAAGGCATGGAAAACTTAAGTCCTAATGCTGAAAGTTTCAGAAACTCTTAATCAGAGATACACACACACACATGAGATTTCATAGTCATCTTCTTGTAACTTTATGGAAATCACTTCAAATTGCCTTAGTAGAATCCCACATACTGATCTATTTATCAAGGACTAGAATTTCAAATTCAGGGGGAGTTTTGTCACTAACCTGTTTAATGCTTTGAAAACATCATGAGATGTATGAATACATCTTTAGTTGCCGAAACACTTTTGAAAATCTGGATCAATTTTTTTTTTTTTCCAGAAATAAGAACGCACAGTCCTAGCAATGAAGTTACTTGAATAATGTTTGATTGGTAAATTCTCCTGTGAGTTATGTAATGTTTTTTCAAGGAAATGAATCAGTGGCCTTTTATTTATTACTTCTCCAGTTTACTGGCCATTGATGAATACATGAATACATTTGTGTTTTGTGGGCTTTTGCCAATAAAAAAAAAAATGACTTGACAAATGTTATTAATGTTTTCCAATAATATATTAAGGTACTTATTTTAAATTTTAAATACTTTGTAGTATCACCTGGCCCCAACTGTAGTTGTATTCAGGGGATGCAGTATAAAATAAAACTGGACTTCAAAGTTTTCTCATACATTATCAAATGAGCTATTTGTTCCTAGTTCTAGTTTTTGTGTACTTAATACTTTCCATTGCTTTGATCAAAGTTGAAATAACAGCAAAAAAACCCTAAGTGAATGTCTTACAGCTGAGAAATGTGAGGAAATTTAAGGCATATAACAGTGTTGGTTAATGTAGGTCTACTTTCTGGTCTGATGTAGGCATCACTGAGATTCTGCATAAGCTTGCAAAAATGGTTTTGTTTAACTCTGTCTTAAGGTACCGCACCTAGTCTGAGGCTGTCAAGGACAATTTACTAAGCTGTAGACTTGGGTGTCTTAAACAGAGAATGTTAGGTCATTCTGATCCCACCCTAAATCCTTTAAGAACTACTTGGAGAACCTAAGTCCTCAGTGAGATACTCTTAAGACACTCAGTGCTTGGAGGCAGATGGGTTTATTTCAAAGAAAAGTCTAAAACAAAAAGGAACTGTAAGATCATCTGAACATTGCAGCCTGCTGCTTTATGTATCAGACTGGTCAGTCTGGCCAATGTCAGAGGAAAACAATAAACATTCTTCCAGAAAACCCTGAAAAGCCAACCTGTAGAGAGAACCTTTGGCTCCTGGATCAGCACTTCATGACACATATGCCAGAGAGGTCATAACGGGTGTTTGGGAGCGCCATGCACTGGTTTCTGTTGAGTTAAAAACTTGATGGGAGCTGCAAGCTACCAAAAGTTGCCTTTGTGCAGATAACATCTTGTCTCCTCAATTTCCGAATTGATCAAACGGCAGAAGGGGTGCCAGCAGTACTTCAGTCTCTCACTGGGAACAGCAAAAACATGGTGTACTGCTCTTGAAAGACTGTTGACACCTCACCAAGACCATTCTCCTGCTCTAAAGAGGATCAGATACAGCTCAGACATCATTGGTATTTGCTAACATTTTTTTCTAAAAGTTGCAGTGATGAGGACTTCATAGCCTCCCTAAGTATCCTGCAGCTGTTAAGGATCCACAATAATGTAATCTCTTCTGCTGCAAAGTAGGTCAAGTACTTCCCTCCACTCTGCTGGCAAGGGAAAAGAACAGATAACTTCCTGCTTTATAGCAGTAGTCCCTATCTGAAGGGTTACTATGTACATTGCTCCCTCCCCTGACATATACGCCCATCCATGTCTCATGACCTGTCTCCAGACTGCAAAATTTGTGAAACATCAGAAACCTCAAGTGTTTTATTGTTGTTTTATTGTTGTTGTTGTTGGGCTGGGTTGGTGTCAGTTTGTTGTTTTGGTTTTGTGTTTTTTTTTTTTTTTTTTCTCTTAACCCACCTCTTCCTAGTTTGCTTCTCCCTAATTCTTGGTGGCTCTTTTGCTCTCTCCTTTCTGAGATTAGATTGGCCCTGATATGTGGGAAGGACATAGATTCAGACTGTTTGGCTGCTGTGCAAAGGCTCATCTCTCATCTTTAATCCTCCTGGCAGCTCAGCAATAATTCACCCTGAGGCAGAGTGACTAACCTCTTCAGATGTTTTCTGATGCCTCACAGTGCTTCCACTCATTAAATCTTTTGTCCAGAAAACTAAACTGAAAGGTGTTTCAGAAAAATACAATGATTTCATGTTTTGCTTCATCTTTGCAATTTTTTTACTAAGGGCAGTAAAGGTTTAGAGTGAAATATATAAAAGCTTGCAGTTGAACATAAGCCAAAACCAAAGTCCTGGGTCTAAATATCCTTAAGGCTGTGAAAGTTAAATGGAAAAAGTGCATTCGCATTGCCAAAATATATGCATTGAACAAGTGCCTCATTCCTTGCAATAATGAACATTTCCTCTGTAATTTTCTAAGGAAAAGTCTCTTGTAGACAATTGCTCAGAAGGATTAGTTTCTGTGCATGTAAAACATCCTGCCCTAAAGTCAGTTTGAGCACTCTCTTGCTGTGCAAAATAAAAATTATTGCAAGCTTAAACAGAGCTTAGATCTAGAAACATTGTATCTCTGCTCCTAGACTTTCTCTGGCTAAAATGATGACAGAAGATATTCCAGCCTCCTCTAATAAAATCTGTAAGTCTGAGATATTTTTACAGGACTGCCAAGCCCTTCACATTGGTATTACTATGAGGTCATATTGCACCATTAATTCTTCTTTCTTTTTTTTTTTATTTCTTTTATGTGAAGCAAAACTTTTCTTTCTAAAGTAAATGGTGCAGCGTGTTCCATTGCTGCTGAGAAAAGGCAGATTGTTGCTTCCTGTGACTTCTTTGTTGGTGTTCAGTTGCAGACATCAGGCCAAAATTTCTTTAGCAAACTCGAAATCTCCAATATCTCAGAATAAGAGTAAGCCAGGGAAAAAAGCAGTCAGCCTAGATGAAATGAGTTTATGCTTTGATTTCTTGTACTGTTTGATACTGATTTTAGACACCAGAGGTCAGACACTGCTGCTGATCTGCCTAGGAAATGGGAACAGCTCCAGCAGATAATAGGAAATGAGCTTTCCTTTCAGTGCAACCATATTTATGGGGTTTGTCTAGCACTTTATTTTTTCCCATTAGCCAACAGAAAATGAAACTACTCTTCTTGAAGTTCCTTCTGGCAGAAAACTAAGCCAAGCAGAAATGTCCAATTTTTAAGAATTCATTGTGGGTTTGTTTCTTACCCTTTCCACTTTAGACTTTCTAATGAGCTGCTTGTCTTCTTCACCTGAGGACTTAATTTACTAAATCATTAAAAATTAAAGCAGTTCTTCAAATTCTTTTCCTTGCTGTGTTCAAGTACTGTTTCAAAAGCTATTCTATTTTGTAGCAATATACAAAATTGGAGGAGGGTGACAAATTCCCTCTCTGTTTCTGCAGTACAAATGCATTATGAAAAAAAAATATAGTTAGGGCAATGAATTTTTTGCCCATACAAGCCTGACACTCCATGCAGCACCTCAGCCAACAGCAGCACCTCTGACCTTGGGCAGAACTGGCCAGTGGAGGGGACAGGACCCAGAGCCCTCTTGCAGGGAAAGCTTCATGCAGTTGGCAATTTGGCCTGGCATGGCTGCTGAGTTTCTGATGGAGGTTGCTTTTGGGGTTTCTGTGATGAAAGAGGATGAGTGTATCTCTCTCCTACCAGTTCCTTTTGAGAAAACTCATTCTTATGCACAGAAAGCTGTTTGTACATCACAGAAGAGTTTGCTCCGTGCAGTACTTCTGTCCTTCCACCTCTCCTCTGTGAGAGAGGTCAGTGTTCAGAGCAAGAAGAGAGCTGCAGCAAGGGAGCCTCAGGGACTAGCTGCAGGGAGGAAGGAGAAATAACACTAAACCCCTTTGCCAGCTTCATTGTAAAACTGCCTCATTGTAAGACTCTGCCTGAATCCAGAGATATTTTCTTCCTCTCCTTTTCTCTCTGGACACCAAGCTTCCTAGCAACTGGCCTGAGAGAGATACACGTACAGATACCATCTGACAAAGCTTTATATTTATTCTAAAATGAATAAGCATAAATCCAATCAAGCACACATTTCTGTACTCTGCTTGAGCTCATTCAGCCGATGCGGATGGCTGTGCAGTTCATCACCTGAGCAATATAGTGGAAATTTGCCCTTAATGACCCCTTAAGGCATTTTTTTTTTCTGCTGTCAGAGGTCTCCAATTTTATCTTTTTGACTAACAAAAAAAAAAAAAAAAGGTACAGAATAATAAATGTTCCTTTTGTGTAACTGACAGGATTTGATGAAAATGGTGTCATAAATATGAGGCTAGTTATGAGTGAATGAAGGGTGGGCAGTACATGTGACTGTATTTGGGCTAGCATAGGTCTAAATTGTAAGTAGGATATCTACAAGAACAAAGGCACTACTGGCAGCAGTCAAGAGTTTATTTTGTTTAGTTTTTCATAAATGTAACAGTCAATAGTATAGCTCTGTGTAGTACACAATTAAAAACCTGTTACAGGCAGGGTTCAGCTTTCTGATACATTGGTGATACTGCTCTTAAATGCACCGTGCTTTGTGCATTTGCCTCCCTGCTGCTCAGTACTGCGAAGAAAAATGGTGGTAATCTCTTTGCTTATGAAAGGGGGAATAAGAAAGTTCCGGGAGCTCCTCCCCATTATCTGGCACATCTAAATGCTGTTTCCCAGACTAGCTGTATCAGTATAATTGCCTTCTCTGTGTTAGCATTTCATTGCACTGTCAAGAATACAGCATGTTCTCCTCTACATGAAAGCAGAATGCTATTTCTGCATCTTTCAGAGCCTTGCTAGCTGGAGAATGAGGCCATCTTTGATCTTAAATTTGCCAAATCTGCTCCCTGGAAGGTTGCAAAGTTGTCTAGAAGCCATCCTCAGCTTGCCTTTGCTCAGTCCTAGTTGTCTTCTGGCTTTTACCATTATTTTGCCCCTGGAGACCAAAGGGAAAAAAAAACAAAAAAAAAACAAAAAAAAAAACCCACACATGTTATTGTGCATATTTATCTTTTCTTACTGGGATCTGTGGGAATCCGTGTGCTAAAGATCCATGGAGAATTCAATAAGATAGCCCAGGTCTCCTGATACTGCTGTCTAATAATGACTGCAGCTAGTAAGGCTACAGGATGCAGTAGGAATGAGAGCAAATACTATTAAGTTAGCATTGCAAGACTGGGGTTCTTCCTGTCCAAGATAAGGCAGGCACAGCTTTCCTAACCACAGCTTCTTCCAGTACTCAAGGAATCCATGTTTAGTAACAAACGTTTTAGATAATGCTGACCTAACTCATAATAATCTTATTTAAATCCACAGAGTGAGTTTGAACAATGGTTTTGCCCTCTGGACAGAGGCCGGTGGTGGTCTGTAAGGCAACAGATGACAGTCTGCAGAGTTCTTGCTAAGGAATGTCAACACTTCCCCACACAGAGTAATTTCCATATGCACAATCCAGAAAACAAAGACAATGTAACAGAAAGAGGAGTAATAAATGAACATTCAGAATAATTTTGCACCACTGCAAAAAAGTGTTTCCTGTTGCCAACCCCTTCGCAACAAGGTGGAGACGTCCTTGGATTAGAAATTTGATTATGTTGCTTCCTGACTTTCTTTCTAGCTCCTCTTTCTGTTGTTCTGTATACTAGACAGTAATACAGGGCAATGATAAGTAATGTTTTCCACATATGTCCACTGGAAAATGCTAGAGGAGTTCTGAATTAATCCCTCAACAGCTGACAGCCATGACCAATTACCGTCAGAACCTGTCCCTATAGATCACACCCTAATTTAACAATAAATTACTTTAACCTCCTACATCTATTTGCAGTGATTTCCAGAAAACATTACTAAGCGTAAAGGAATCCTCCTGTGGGTTAAGTAATTACCCTGGGGAGCTAGCTTTCACTTTTCAGCAGCGGGAGCAAATAGCATTTCTAATGAGAAGGGTATAAATACCAAGTTGAATGCTGTCAAGCATCAATATTTACTCTGCATTGGGTAGAACTGCTAACTGAATTAGGCCCTTTGCAGTGAGGGGCTGAGTTTGCATGCAATTATAATCATGACATTCTCACTTGATGCTTATTAGCTTTCTCAAAAAAAATATAAATAAAAACTATAAATAGGAAATGCATATTCAGAAATGTTGCGCTGAGCGGTGCCTGTCAGTTTTGGTACATCTTACAGTAGTACCTATTCAAATTTAGATCCCAGGCTCTCTGACTTCTCTTCATAGGCAAATTTTGTATCACCATACTATCTATGTACTTAAACGAGCTGGAACAAAGATTAAGGATCCATCTAGAAAGATCAGCTTGCTGGACAAGGCATTTTTCATCTGTATTGCACAGTAACTGTTTTCTGTGAAAGCAGAGACCTGATTGAGTACTGCAACAGTCATTTTACTGGAAATTCTAACATTTTCATTGTTTTACTTGAAAGTAGACAAAAATTTAGATTCCTTATGAATCAAAAGTTCTGTAGAGAAGAGAGTCCACCAAAATGTTTCATTTTATCTTTTATACCATATGTAGTAATATTTATGTATCTACTTTAAAAATTTAACATGTATAATCATCATATGCAGTATTAAGATATATTTAAAATTATTTATTTTGATAATTTAGAAAATATTTTAAAATATTTTCCTGTTGATAAAATGTGGGTTTTTTTTAGGAAAGTTTAAACCAGTTTATTCTGATGCTAAAAGTAGCCTCTGATATTTTGTTTAAAATAGGAAGTGCACTCACCCTGTGAGGACAGGCTGAGGGAGCTGGGGTTATTCAGCCTGGAGAAGAGAAGGCTCTGGGGAGACCTTATTGCTGCCTCCCAATATCTGAAGGTGACCTACAAGAAGGGTCGCCAGGGACTTTTTACAAGAGCTTGTAGTGATAGGATGAAGGGTGATGGCTTCAAACTGGAAGAGAGTAGATTTAGTTTAGATGTAAGGAAGAAGTTCTTCACTCTGAGGGTGGTAAGACACAGGAAAAGGTTGCCCAGGGAAGTTGTGGACGCTCCATCACTGGAGGGGTTTGAGACTAGATTGGCTGGGGCCTTGTGCAATCTGGTCTAGTCAGAGGTGTCCCTGCCTATGTCAGGGCTTTGGAACTACATGATCTTTAAGGTCCCTTCCAACCCAAACCATTCTATGATTCTCTATGGATAGGTGCTGTCATTAGAGAAATAGATATGTGTTCACACACTGAAGCACCAGATAGCTGTCTGAGCTGTTGAGGGCAAGCCTGGGGATTAGGATACTGTGTGGCCATATGTCTGCTCATACGTCATGCCATTAGCCAGACCTAGATCATGTCAGGCAGTGATAACTGCGTGGGACTACAGTTCATTTGCTCTCAATTAAATTCACGGCTATACCATGTAAGTCCACTAAACTGTTCACATGCATATTTTTTTATACAGTGAATAATAATTTGGCATAAGTTACGTGTTCCAACAATTTATAATAATATGTTGTTTGACAATTTCACTGGCCAGAGCAAAAATATATTCATGCTTGCAAACTGGTCATGATACTTCACAAAGGTTTAACCATTGGTGGCATCTTCTGCTTTGGGGCTCTCTGAAGCAGTGTCTCTCCCCTCTTAGGGATGAGGGCACAGCCCTCCAAACCCTCTCCCCTGGTGCTGGCAGCACGGAGCCTACTTCCTGACACAGGGTGTCTGTCTCAGTCCACAGGGACACAGTTACCAGAGCAGCAAACTCCCATTTTCCTTTTTACTCCTCCTTTACACTAGGATGCCTCAGTTCCTGCCTTGGGACACTCTAACGTATCTTGGTTTTCCAGTTCCAGGTCCTCCTGCTGGTGTTAAAGCAGCTGCAGCTTCGGCCTCCACCGTCTTTGTCTCCTGGCTCCCTCCTCTCAAGCTGAATGGGATAATTCGGAAATACACTGTCTTCTGCTCACATCCCTACCCCACAGTAAGTCCCACAGGGCAGAACTGACTTTCAGGACTGAAACCATGGCTTTACAGACACTTGGTGCTTAATGTTCCCCTTTCCATCTCCTTTCTTGCCTTCTGTTCACCCTAAGCAAAGGTGAAGGGGGATCCTGGGGCTATGGACATTACAGAGATTTGGTTTTGTTTTTTCCCACCTATCAAACTTTTGCATTGTTTAAAACCTATTGTAGAACACTGGCTTACAAATAATTTCAAAACTCACAATTGAAGCTGAGTATCTTCTAAGGTTGTTTTATCTAGAATGTACTCAGTTACCTTTTACAGGGCCAGCTGCAAGAGCCCTGTTGTAGCTGGAGGCATGCATCTACATACCCTTACTTAGATGTGTTTTCATCTAAGTTCCTGCCTTTTTGTCTTGAGTATTCATGTGTGAAGGAACATAAAGAGTTATGAACAAACGTATTTGCTTGTGAATAAGCTTATCTATGCCTGGAATATTTGCCCGCTCTAGGCCTACATGCTATTATGTGCTGAGAAAGTGATGAGAGAAAAATTGAATTGAATATCAGGCACCTTTCTCCTTCTCTGAGTCACAAAAGAATCTAGATATCTTTAAATATAAGGGCCAATTGCTCTTTGTAAATACTCATGCATATTTATTTTAAGGTATACTGAAAAAAAGTATTTGTTTAGTTTTTTATCTATGGCTTTGATTCAGTATTTTTTTTAAGCAGGACTTCCTATTGAAGGAAGCATTGTAATTTACAAATAATAAATTTTATTTTAATAGATAAGGAAAATATTGTTCCAGAAGTAGGAGGAGTTTGACAAGGAAATTGCAAAAAATGCCTCAGCCTTGTTTTCAAAGCTGGCTGAGATAGAGGGAGGCCTGAGACTATGTCTGAATGGGACCCTGCAGGCAGACACAGCCCCACCTGACCTGCTATTCCAACAAGTGAAATAATCCTGTAGGTACAAGGGGAGATAGGGCAAAACACACGTGTCCATTGATGGCTACGCCTAAACTGATACACCCCACTATAAGAAACTGATACATCCCACTATAAGCAGGATTTATTAGTCACATCCAAAGCTAAGGGTTAGAGGTCTTAGATTCATTTACGTTTTGGAATTCCTAACTCCATTAATTTAATAATTGTGTCCCTGCAAACTAAACTATCTTGAGCATACCGTTTAAATGTAAACTAGCCAGAGACTTTTCCCTCACTGTTCATATATTCCTATTGCACACAACGAATTGAAGAGGTTGGAATTTACAGAACTGGACCGTGCTGTTAGAGCTCTGGTCTGAGTGAGGACCAAGGGCTTCTCTGGGTGGTTGGAGAGAACACCAGGTGGTGCTGCTGGCCCTTGCTAGCTACTTACCATGCACAAAGCTGTGGTATTTTTTCCTGAGGTTTTGATAGCAACAATTTTTTGTATGTTTTCATCAACAGGGAAATAAACATCCTCGGCTAAAACTGTTTTCCTCTAATACGCAGTCTTCTCATATACAATTTTTTTTTTTTTTTTTTTGAGACTACTTATTGCATGGCTACCTTTTGGAGTATCTCAGTGTTGGACAGTAGCAAGAATAGCTACTTTGTTTGCTGGTCTTGGCCTGTACTGTTCTTCACTGCTATATTTTTGTAGTGTTCATTATGGCATGATATGGGGGGATGACTGTATACCTTAGCCCACGTTAGAGGCACTTGGAAGTGTTGGTGTTTTCTGTGAATCATTAACATGCACATGCGTAGTTATTCTGTTGTCACCTGTGTGTATGAAGGGCTGTATGCATGTATGTATGCATAAATGCACCAATGTATATACATATACGGGTGTGTATATACGTACAGTATGTATCTATGAGGACAGTCCCTGTACCACTTCTCAGCAGTGTTCTGCAGATCAGTGTGAGTTGTGGCCTACAGAGCATGTCTTCTCTGTCAGCTCTGTGTGGTAGGTGAGGCAGTGATCACACTCAGGGGTCAGTTTCTAAAAGCCAAGTTGGACATCTTTAAATAAGTGTGAGACCTCGGGACACATCTAATATGGGAAGCGCTCCCCCAGCTTTATTTCTAACAAAATGCTTTTTTAATCTTTTATCTTTAAAAGGCTTGTGAAATAAAAAGTTATTCTCTTCAGAGCTAGCTTTGCAGTAAAACAAGCCTGCTGCAGAGGTCCTTGAAAAATAACACTTCTGTGCAGATATAGTCTATATATCCAAAGGAAGTTCTTATAGGATTCATTGTTGTCAGATAGAAGTAGCTGACAGAGAAAGAGGTCTTAAATTGGGATGAGGAGGTGAATAAATAGAATTGTCTTTATTGTCACTTCTGTCACCTTAAGTACAAGTCAATACAGTACACTTTAGATGCTCAAACTAACAAAACAGTCCTTTGCACAAGAGCACAGCTTTGGTGTTTAAGTTACCAACAGGAAAACTAATTAACTCTGATGGTCATATTATGCACATTTTGATTGCAAAGCACAACCCTTATATGACCCTGAGACATAAAATGAAAATTTGCTGCCTCTTGCAGCGTTCAGTTAGCTTGGTAAGGGCAGAATCTGTTTAAGCTTCTGCTACCCCTGTACAGAACAATGCAGACATTTCCTTTTTAAATATTTTGAGTCCTAAGGACAGTATTTGCCTAGGGTGTTTCAAGCCACAAATACAATCAATGTATGAAAAATATTCTCCACTGCAATATATTCTTTAGCCAAGATGAAGGGCAAGCAAGGATCCACTGTCATCCTCTCTAATTCTTGTGCCTGTATTATTGTAAGACAATATTTGGTAGAACTTTTTTTTTTATTCTGCAAATACAGAGGGGGAAAAAAAAATATGCCTGAAGTGCTGGGGTTTAAACCCCCAGCCCTGAATCAGGGTTCACATATGGTTGATGTCCACATTCAAGCAGGAAAGACCTTCCTGACTGGTTTTCACCCAGGGATTGGGAGATCAGCATCAGGCCCCCCCACCTTCGGCATTAACATTAAGTGTCCTGCCTCCAGGTTAACAGCACAAAAACTAGTTCTGTCTGCAGAAGGGAAACTTGCCTATTAGGGAGGATTTCCAGTTACTGAAAGGGTCCCTTGTTGGCAGAGCCTCCAGCAGCAGCGGGACATTAGTACAGCTGGGAGCAGAGGAAGGTGTATATCTATAATGATGGCATCATGTTATGGTCATGGCCATACAATTGGAATTGGACTGGTTGCTTGAGTCCTTGATCTGTTTGCTCCTGTCTCCACTGCATCTTGCACTGTGAGTGAATATATCAATCTTTTCATTTCTCCAGTGGCTGGCCACCTCAGATCCCTTGTATATGATTTAAGACTGCAGGGAGGGATCTGGCTCATGTGCTGTCCATTAATGATAATATCCTTTCTATTGGGACATGCAGTCAGCAAAAGAATGACTGAAAGAGGACTTCATTCTCAAATATAAGAAACAAAACATACCATAACTTAAGTTAAAATAATTATCATCTGTGCTAACTCACAGCCTACGTTCCCACAGTTCTTGGCCCCACCTGACTTCTGGTAAAAACTGGCTTCTCAAGATTGCTTGTAATGGTCCCATGTTGGCCAGCTTCCTTCTGAGCGTACTTATCCCCAGGGTAACAGTCAGGGTGCTCATTGTGCTCATTCTGCCCCAGCTTCAGGAACCAAAAGGCAGTGCTCTCAGCTGCAGCACGGGCTGGCTTCTATTCCTATCAGTATAGATTCTCCCACTGGTGCCATGGACATTGCACATGGTTTGAATCCTGGCAGAGAAGCTAGGCTGGTTCAGCTCCTACTTGGCTGTGGAGGGAGCTGCTTTAGGTGGCTGCTCCAGCACCTGCTGCCATAGGTTGTAGGTGTGTATTGACAGGGCTTTTAAAAGGGCAAAATAAAATGAGATTTATGTGATTTCAAAAAAAAGCTCCACCAACCTCTTATTGCATTCGGGTCAGTACACTACATGAGGAGGAACTGATGAGATTAGGTTAAAGAAAATTTAGATGGGAGAAAGTGCTCAGAAAAGGTCATTGTGACACAAAGCATGAAGTGGCTTTGTGGCATCGAGTGGCAGCCTGGGAAACTGTAATCTCAGAACAGGTAAGAAGTAACACAGAAAGAAGGCAGGAGAATGAAGATTCAGCAGACGGAATCCTTGGAGCAGGGAGGG